CAAACACTGCATGTTCTCACTCATAGGTGGGAATTGAACAATGAGAACACTTGGACACAGGAAGGGTATCATCACACACCGGGGCCTGTTGTGGGGGAGGGGAAGGGGGCAGGGATAGCATTAGGAGATATACCTAATATAAATGACGAGTTAATGGGTGCAGCACACCAACATGGCACATGTATACATATGTAACAAGCCTGCACGTCATGCATATATACCCTGGAACTTAAAGTATAATAACAAAAAAAAGAGACAAATACTTGCATTCTTTTGAGTTTCTGGTTAGTCTTTCCCAAGGAGGCAATCAGATATGCATTTATCTCAGTGAGCAGAGGGGTGACTTTAAGTAGAATGAGAGGCAGGTGTGCCCGAAATAGTTCCCAGCTTGCCTTTTCCCTTTAGCTTAGTGATTTGGGGGCCCCGATATTTATTTTCCTTTCACAGCTTCCTAACCTTATTTATCCTGCCTCATGTTTAAAAAGGCATCATAACTCTGTGATTAACATCTGGGCAACATTTTCTTAAGGCCTCAGAAAAAATGTGAAGCTATCAATGATATCTGAACAAATCATCTTAAATTTGATTGGCTCAATAGCTTATAGGGTCACTTCAGAGCTGATAATAGTCAAATAAAAGTAAAAACATCAAGAGCAGGTGCTCCTACTACAATGCCAAGTTATAATCACTTACGATATTGCTTCAGATTCAAATGAAGGCACCACTCTTGGGAATTCTAATTAGGATATGCACCCCAGCTGCGACCTACTCAAAGCTATGAACTAATTCCAATAAAATGATTCTTAAAAACAAAAGTGAGTCTTGAAATGTTCAGCCTTGCTGGGTTTATATATGTTTAAATGTTAAGTGTGGAGATGTTTAAATTATAACATAAACCTGTAGAGACCACAGTCAGAAGTATACCATGCTATCCAGATGAAATACAGCTCAATATGCTTTTTTTTCCTCAGCAGAACTCACTGGGAAATAAAGTCCACTTTTTAATAATAAATTCCAAAATGTTGTTCATTGAGTGAAATGAATTGAGTACATTAAATTCTTTATAGAAGATTTCCCTTCTTTCATTGGTGTCTACTTTTCAGAAATTTGGTTTTATCTTTTTTTGTCAAAATAGGGACAATAGTATGACAATTAGATATAACGTGTTAAAGATAAAATGTGTTTCAAGAGCTAAGGCATGAATTAAATCTGTCTTAATTTAGGATATTAAAACACCTGTGCACACCCACAAACACACACATACACATATACACACAGCACTTTTATTCCAATACCTTAAATTATGTATATTTGATACAGCATGTATCTTCAAAGTGATTTCAACATGGGTTGCTCTCCCTGTATCTTTGTGTGAAATATAATTGCTAGGGAATCAGTAAAATAATTATGAAAGCAATAGAGAATGATACCAATGAATTCTCATGTGCAGAAAAGTTTATTAGAAAGCAGAGATGCAACAAAGCATAAGAAATTCACACTAGGAGAAACACAGAATATAACTGGGCCCCTGGGTCTGAGGGTGCAACATCAGTGACAAAACTGATCCTGCAGATAATGTCTACCTCACTGAGAAGGAGAATCTCTACCTCAAAGTGATAAAGAAAATAAGGAAATTAGAGGATTGGAATAATTTCTTAGTTGGTGGATTACAAATTAATTTCTATTTGGTGCTACCACTGGAAGAAAAAGAAAGCAAGGGAGGGAGCTTAAAATGAACCAGAATATTCTCAGAGTCAGTGAAATGGTGATGGGCTCATTGGAAACATGAGGTCCATCCTATTGAATGACATCAACCCCACTCCATGTGTCCTAATAGCCAGCACAGTAGAAGGGTCTGCATCTGTGGGCCAGCAGTGAAGGGGGAGGTGAAGCAGGGCAGGGGGCTCAGCAGCAAGAGGAGGCGCAGCACAAGGGGCGGGGGCAGGTGGAGATGACACAGGTTGGGCGATAGCAAGTGGTGTGGCAGGAGACTCGGCCACAGACTGGACGCAGGCAGCAGCAGGGGCGGCAGCAGCTGGATTCACAGCAAGAGGGACGGCAGCAGCTGGAGATGCAGCAGCTGGGGCGGCAGCAGGTGGGCTGGCAGCACACAGACTGGCAGCACTGGGGCCTGCAGCAGCTGGACACACAGCAGCTGGGGCGGCAGCAGGTGGTCCTGCAGCAGGTGGTCTGACAGCA